CAACATACAAGAAATCATGACCTATAAAGCCAGTTTCAGAGGGTTTGGCCTAATATTATTCAACCATATGTTAATTTCAAAAACAAAAGCTGGTCAGATAGCTGAGGGGAAGAGTTTAGCCTTTGTTTCTAAAGAGAGCTGCTTCCAAATTCTACACTAGAGCTGTTGAATAAGAATAAGAAATAGAACTTCCAGTTTCTGGTCCTGCATATAAAGAGCTGGGAAGTGGCCACTTCATCTTAACAACTAGCGCTGTCAGCTGAACAGACCGAAAAATCAGTTAAGTCTTCTTGGATCCCTAAGAGAAGAAACTTCAGCCTCCAGAACTGGAGAAAGAGACAGGCAAATACAGGCCATCACAACTTCCAAGACCAGAGACTCACAAGCAGGAACCAGTGCAGGAACCATTGCCGGGCTAGGAAAACCTGAAGCATAACTGACGAATTGCGGAAAGCTCAGGGCAAACAACTCTGAGAGTTAAGAACTCTGGGGGGACCCGGTCACGCGGGGAGGCACAATATTGTTAATATTTACCTCCAGGAGCTTTACCACATTCACAGAGTAAATATTGGAGAACAATTTCGTAGTACATCCAGCAGGGAGAGGGGGCAAGGAGCCATTTTGAAACATACCCAAGTGCTCTGTTCTTAGCATGGTCCCCTCTCAGGGGACACTCATTAACCAAAGGCTAACTAGCTGGAGTATCAGAGCCTAACTGACCGAGGGAAGGGAAATACCAACTCCAGCCCACTCTAGCCATCCTGTGCCACCTAATGGTGGTGGAGAAAAAAAACTGAGAAGCTCTTGTGAAGTTCATAGTCCAGAGGCAGAGGCGTACTGAGACTGAGACCTCACCAGGAGACTATAGAATGCTTCCCCTCCCACCTCAACACTAAGCTAGTAAGGCCTATTTATAGCAGTTCCTTTTACCCAGTAGGTCATTTAGCAAGAAAAAAGTTACAAGGCATACTAAAAGGCAAAAACACAATTTGAAGAGATGCAGCAAGCATCAGAATCAGATCTGGCAGGGATATTGAAATGACCAGATTGAGAATTTAAAACAATTTTGATTAATATGCTAAGGGCTCTAAAGGATAAAGTAGACAGCATGCAAGAACAGATAGATGGGCAATGTAAGCAGAGAGACAGAAATCCTAAGAAAGAACCAAAAAGCAATGCTAGAAAAACAGAACACAAAGTAACAAATGGAAGCCACATATGTAATTTTAAATTTTATGGTAATGGTATTACAAAAGTAAAAGAAACAGGTGAAATTAATTTTAATAATATACTTTATTTAATCCCATATATCCAAAATAGTATTATTCAGACATGTAATCAAGATCAAAAATTAATGAGACATTTTACATTCTTGTTTTGGTACTGTCTTTGAAATCTGATGTATATTTTACACTTTGTTATATCCCAGTTCAGATTAGACATATTTCAACTGCTTGAAAGCCTACACCTAGAAGCTAGTGTACTTACTGGACAATGAAATTCTAGAACCTTCCCTTACAAACTGAGGGATCTTGGACACATGATTTAACCATTCTGCGTCTGCTCACTTCCCTGCAAAATGGAGCTATATAAAAAAACAAAAAACAAAACCCCTACATCATAAGGTAATACGTGAGGTTAAATAGGTTAACAGAGAACAGGAGCTGGTAGGTGCTCAGCAAACCACACAGTTCTTTCATCATCTTAGGAAGTAGGTCATTCAGCGAGCCACTTTGTCTCTTTTACTTTGAGTTTAGTTGGTAGACATGAGCAAAGATTTACATGACCATCTCCCCCACTGTTTTAAACAACTTCTGGTCAGACATGTAACCAAAAGTTTAACAAATAGAATTGCAGAATATTCTCAGAAATAACTGATGGCTTGATCCATTTATGAGAGAGTCTGGAGGGTTTACACATTCACTCTCAAGACGGGGAAGTATGGGCCCAGGTTACAGTCTGAATATAAACACCTCATTACAATAGAATTGCCAAGAAGCCAAAAACAGAACAAGTTGAGAAATATATTAAGACTACAGTTTACTGATCATCAACTATAGGCCAAACGCCAAGGGAAATACTTTTCATATGTAGATTCACTTAACCACAGGAACACAGAAACAAACGTGCAAAGCCCTGTAAAGCAGGTAGTCTCTTCCTCACTTAAAACACAAAGAAACAAGGCTCAGGGTGGTTGACACACTTGCTAAAGTTGATGTTAGGTGACTCTCTTCATTACCCTGCTACCCTCCATCTCTTACTCATCACATGAAGGTGATGCAGGCTGGGGTGATAGGCCTGGTACTGGCCACTCTGCAGAGAAGCAGGAAATAACTGTGTTCAAGTGAAAACACTTCCTTTAACTGTGAGTTGAGGATAGAAGAGATGAAACACAGATGATCATAGGAAAGAGACCATTTTCTATTCCACCTAAACACTTGCATTGATGGTTTGTTCCTATGTGAGGTTTCGACAATGGGCACAAACTGGTTTTTTTTTTTCATCAGATAAAGCAAGACAACCAGATCGAGCCACAGCTACTTTTTTATTAGTTCCATTTATTACGAGACTGGCAACTCACTTGCAAAGCCTGGTCTTGAAGGAAACGGCCAAAGCACTTTGCGGGAATGAGGGTTTTTCGGTGCAGTGGGCCGGGGAAACGGAGAGGAGTAGCTGTTCCCAACACCAATCCCAAGGAGCACGTGGCTCTTGTTATATCTGGCTGGCTCAGCAACTATCCAAGTTATGGGGCTACAGGGGATACTGTCTAGACCAGTTCTTTTGGCCCTGGGGTTGGCAGAACATAGAACCAGAAAGCCAAGGCATGGTTCAAACAACTCTCTGCATTTTTTCTGGTAGACAGTCAAGCTGGATGGAAACTAAATCTCAAACAATTACCAAATGGCAATAAACAAGAGAATAAAAAGACTGCACAGGGCTTTCTTCAGTCCTTGGTAGATACGTCCTGGCTCATGAGCTATAAAACATGACATTTCTGTAGTGAGTATCCTTGAGAATAAAAGCACAACCTTAAAGATGTAGGACTTTTCCAGCTCGAGATGATTCTCAGGGCAGTAGAGGTGTTCTCTAGTCTCAGTGATAATCCCGTGATAGGAAAAACACATCAACATACAATTGAAATAATTTATTTACCACTAGAGCACCACAAAACAGACATACATCATGTTTAAAATACAGCGTAATCAGTCATCAAAATACAAAACAGCTATTCTTATATTCCATTTTTTTTAAACCATGCCAACCATGAAATTGTACTGCTGCTTAACATATAAAAACCGCCACCCCACCCGCCCACCCGTACACTAACATCTTCCCATTCCCTCCCACCTCCCTCCCTGCCCACGGCAATATTTACTTATGGGAAATAAAGACCTTACAGAACCCCCAAACTAAAAAAAAAAGATTCAAGAGATCTTAAAATAAAGCATTTAAAATATCAGTGCATTCATGAGGAAAGACAAAATAATACAAAACAAAACGTCATTCTATCTGAGAGGAAAATACCTGCAGAAATAAAAGTGATTTACATAGAATTAATAGAAAATGGAAGGAAAAAAATCAACACACTCAATTTCTGGGATCGGGTCACACCCAACACGAGGGTCGTTTACTACCATGGCATCCCCTCTCTTGCTTTTCCAGTTTTCAAACCTGCGAATCCAATTTGTCATTTCATTAACGGCCAGGAAATGTCAGACAAGAAGTCTACTAGATCAAATAACTTCACTTGGATTCACACCTCGCCATGCTGCCCTTTAGGTGACACTGTAAATATTCCATTGTTTTGCCTATTAATTTTTCTCTTCAAGCTAAGGAAGAGACAACCGGTAAACTGACATCTCCTATCAACCTTGACGGAACGTTTCCTTCTCCGCAACGATACGGCCAATCATTCATTTATTAAAGCAAGGTAAATTCTAGCCTCAGATCTAGAGAACTCGCATTCAGAGGGAAAAACAGAATTTTTTGATCATGGGCGTATTTGGCTTGTACCTCTAACAACCGTCAAAGAACATCTATGAAAACCTTAACTTTAGTGAAATCAACTAAGTGACTTACGCTGAGCGGGGCTTTTTTTTCTCCCTTAAAAAAAAATCAACTAAAATGTCAATCTTTCCATTTCCCCCCGAACACTAAAAACCTGATTAAAGGAGAAGATATATCCTATGAACTGTCTGATCTCTACAAACCGTAGAATTCTGTGAACATACCGATGAAACCAAGTTGGAGAAAGCTGTCTTCACTCAGCCACGAAGATTCTGAGTCTCAGTCAGATCCTGAGGCCCTTGCTAAAACGAAAATATTTCAGCTCAGTGATCTATACATCTATCATAGTCCCATTTTCCTAACATAGAAGATGGTTAACATCTGAATGGATTAGTAATGATGCTTAGAAGATGAAGGAAGACTAGTGAACTTGAGTCGATCCTTTTTATAAAAGGAAAACAAAAGGACAAGTGGACTCAGGTAGCTTATGTCATAATATTGGACAATGCACAAAGCACACATGGAGCAAAGACTCTAAAACACGTATTTGTACTGCAAGTCAAACTACAGCGGCCTTCCTCAAAGTCCTGGCCAGCTAAAGGAAACACACAGGTCTGAGTGATCATTAAAAAGAGCCCCAATTTAAGTCCAATCGAAATAATCATAGTTGACATTATTACAGAACATTAAAAATATGGTAAAAATTTACACACATTACATGTAAAGTAGTTAACGTTCTGATTTAATAGTTTGCAAAAGAGATCTGCAGGTGTGTTTCCAATTATACTGGCTTCTCTCCCCATCTATTATAAGAATGTAGGTGTGGTTACATATACGGAAACGAAGAAAAACCTATAGCATAGCTACCCGGCAATACTTTAAGGTCTGAAATTGGACCGGTACGTATCAAAACATTTCAACATGTCACTGGTTTTACTAAACTGACAAAGAGCCATTTACAATTAAAAAGAAAAAAAAATCTTACAGACTTATTCTGACTGAAAGTTTCCTTTATTAACAGGCTTTTCAGTTTTGAACCTTACAAGAAGCTTCCTTGGGCAGTCGGCACATAGCATCTGTTTTCGGGGTCTTTATCTTACTGCAGACTTGCTTGGTCATATAATAACTCGCTTGGTTTTTCATCCCGTTAATATGACCTCTTCTTTCTCTGGCTCGTTTGAGTTCAAGTTCCTTAAGCCATCCATGAGTTCCTGGCAAAGTATTTGGTCTCCACTTTATACACCTGTTTTATTTTCCAAGGGCAATGAAATGTTCATTATATAGTAACACACAATAAATAACTCACTGTTAACTCTAAAGGTAAGAATGGGAAGGGTGCCTATTGCATAGCAATACAGAAAAATCAAGTGAGGCATGGGATAGGAACGGTATGTACAGCAACTCCACTTAATGGGATTTTCCTGTTTGTTTGTTTTTTCCTTTCACATAATTAACACTAACAAATTCTTCCAGTGTTTATTTTTTTCTTAAAAAAAAAAAAGGTTTCGCTTCTTGTGTCTCTCACTTACAGAGCAGGTGAAATGTAGAATAAAGCCTTCAATTTGTTTTGTTTTGTTTTGTTTCAGATGCCAGTTTTAACAAACAGAACACAGACTTCCAAAGTGTTTGAACTAGTACCGCTTTTTTCAAAAATTTTTAACACTGTTGAAGCAAGGCTCTCTTATGTTTTCTTGTTACAAACATCGTCATTGTTCTTGCCGTTGTTCTCCTCCTGATCCTCCACCACGGGGTTATCGTCTTGCCACTTTTCCAAGAATCTTAGCTGCATTTGCAAGACTTTACGATCATATTAGAGAGTTGTTCAATCTTGGGTGTTTTGCCGATGTAGTAGAGAATGGTTAGCGGTTCTAAATCCTGGGACACGCAGCAAGGAGAGGCAGATGCTTCTGGGTTTATGGTATTATATAGGCTGAGAACCTGAAAGGACATAGGAGAGGAAAGAGAACATAGGGAAAAAAAGGGGGGGGGGAGGGCAATTACTTTAAAAAGAACCATTCCATAGAGCCATAGTGTTACCTTATCCGTCAGCACTCAGGAGACAATTTAAACGAGTTTTGGTTTACAATTTCCTTCTCTTAACCCCCAATTATGGTCAACTTGATATGTGTTCCTAGTAATCACTGAATTCATCATTTTCCTACAGAATCCTTTCCTCCTGCATCGTAAACAAATGATTTTGTAAAAGCTCAGATTGCACAAAATCGCTCATTCAACAAAGTTTACAGTTTCCCCAATAATTCTGGACTTTGATCACTGCCTTGCTGCACACGCTTGCCAGGCCCTCGAAAAACTTGGTCCTCTTAGTATTTGCTCTGGTGTCTACACTTCCTTGTAACCGAGGGTCTATTTCCAATTCCCACCTAGATTAGAGTTCCATTAAGCTCAGAGACTCTACGGACTTTGTTTCGACCTCATAGCCTGAATAAGGCAATATGAGACTGTTGTGCTCCGTGAAGAAGCGAATACACGGAGGAGTAGAATAATCACTTCTACAACTCCCATCAGAGCTTTAATCTACCCTTAGGTATAGAAAAAAACACCTGTCTGCATGTGAAACCTCTCTGTGCTGTGTCTTTGTGGGCCAAATTAATGTCACCTACATTTTTGCTTAAAAGAAAAAAGACATGAGTCTTTTCATTTCTTATTGTTTCATAAATACGATAAAACATTAAGCAGTTAAGAGTTAATTAAGAATGACACTAGGGTGCCTGGGTGGCTCAGTGGGTTAAGCGTCCGCCTTCGGGTCAGGTCATGATCCCAGCGTCCTAGGATCGAGTCCTGCATCGGCTCCTGGGGAGTCTGCTTCTCCCTCTGCCCCAGCCCCCTGCTCATGCTCTCTCGCACACACACTCTCTCTCAAGAATAAATAAATAAAAATCTTAAAAAAAAAAAAAAAGAATGACACTAAAAGCAAGCTCTCTTTTCAACTATTCACTTTCTTACATTTTTCTTAAGACCACGAGGGTAATAATAATCAACCCTCCATTAGATTCCATGTGGTAAATGGTAGTGTCTAAGTTGGAGGGCTTTAGCCAGTCCCACAGTGGAATGAAGAAAAAGTTTTAGAGTTAGTCCCATATCCTTAACTCCGTTTTATATCCAAGGGGGATGGGACTTTTACCAATGGAAGTATGTAGGTTCCCCAGTGATGATAAAGAGACATTTCCAAGGATGCCATTAATGTGTTAGTCAAACAGCAAGTGACCTTTTCCTCGAGATTCACTGCGATTTTTTCAGCCGAAGACAGAAGATCTGTTCAGTGCAGCAACACTGACTACTTTATTAAGCTACCTCTGGCTTCTTGGGTAACTGTCCAAACCACATATTTGTGACCATGACAGTTATTCTTCCTCTCTCCTTGAAAAACAAGCATGGTCTCAGCCTTCACACACTCCCTCTGTGTATCAGGGAAGGGAATTATATTTCTACTTGGCACTGGGGCCTTGCCCACATTATAGCTACTGTTGCCACAGACCAGTTGAAACAGCCTGGCCAGAGAGCTCAGACAAAGGGACAGGCATGAGCAAGTTTTCCTCACATGGCCAAGCACATGGTCAGCTGGGAGTGCCAAAATCTACAGGGGAGTTGGGAAAACAGCTGAAGGAAGGAGAATCCTATTTGTCAACTTAAAGCCTAGCATATGTAGGCATTTATAAATAAATAGACTTCATGTTCTACTAACACGTGATTTTTCATATGAATTAAAGAGGAATTTTATACTACAGATTGTCTAAAATAATTGATAACCCCCAAACTCTTGACTTGAGCCGAGTGCATTATGTGATCCTTTTGGCAGCAGATCCATTTTCCTACCCTGCAGTGAAGGCAATTTTTCTAATGCCTCTTTAATAAGGAGATTTACAGAGGCATAACCTCAATATGCAGCCACATTTCAGGAATTAGACTCAGTAAGACAGAGCAAACGGAGGCCTTGGTTATAAAACAAGGAAGCCCGTGTTCCAAGTTTTGGTTTGTCACCAACTGTTTGATCCTGGGCAAGTCACCTACATGATCTAGACCCCAATTTCTTTAAGTAAAGTTAAATGTTTGGACAAGATAATTTATGAAGTCCTTTCCATCTCTAAAATCCTATATTATGAGGTAGCAGGAAAAAGCATTAGGACAAGCATCATTATTACATAGAAAAATTCTTTGCTGATCTGGGCTACTAACCCATGGCCTCCCATCTAGGACTGGCCCTCTGAATTAGCCTTCTAACCTCACTGAAGTAATTTGACAAAATATTTAGATTCTTGTGTACTTTGGGTATATTAAAAAAGATGTGGAGATACTAATTTTCAAATCATTTTCTCTTATTTCATCTGCTCTTTATATCTACTCTTGAGCTTGGCATTGTTATTTTAAAGATCATTTTTAACATAAACATTCTTTCTACTGATAAAAAATTGAGGTATTGAGGTTTAGAGAAGTCAAATGACTTTTTAATTGCCATACACTAGTGAGTCACTATGCCAAAGCATCAACTGAGGTCCTCAAAGTTCTTTCCTCTATGACAGTTGTTGATGCAGATGATGACGGCTCCTTTTTTAAATGGGGACCTGGGTCCCTTCACATCCAAGCTGTACATGACCCCAAGTGATATTTTGATTCCAAAAGATTTTTTATAGCTACTAATCCCTTACAATATAAAATAAAGGAAAAAATGAACAAAACGGTCTTCTGGTTGCTTATCATTGAATTGGGAAGGTAAAATCTACTTTTCAAACTGATCAGTGTTACTTCTGATTTCACCTACCCCTTACATTCTTGACCCCCCCCCATTCAAAAGGATTTCTCCAGTACCCATTCATGTGTGATGATGAACGGGCACCAGGCTAATTAGAATTCACTGGACATGTTATCAGCAGGTACACATTAGAGATCCCAAAATAGAAGAGATGGAGCCAAATACTTACCCTACTATGCTGAGTGTCTGAACTCCATAAATACGGGCACGCTCCGGCACAGAAGTTGGCATTGTACCCTTTAGGTTCATGTATCCATTTCCACCCAAGATCCCTCTTGAAATCAATGTAAAGTGGACGTAGGCAGCAATTATCCTGCACATTTCTGTTAGAAGAAAGAGTGGTGGAGCTTTTACAGCTGATTTCCCACCCACCCCCCATGCCTCATTCCCAAGTCAGAAAAATGACTCCTTCACTCATGCAAACAGCATCCAATGAGCAAGTATCATGGGCCAGGTTTGAATGGTTTTATAGTAATCTCAAATGACTTTCACGATGGAATGTCATGGTGACCTGCTGGACTACTTTCCATTATGAATTCTATACTCTGTGTCCCTTGGCTGTGACCTTGAAAGTCAAACCTTTCTCTTGAATGACTAGATAGAAGCAGAGAGGTGTCTGAAGAGACCAATCCCCCCTTTCCAACTAACACTAGACAGTTTTGCCAGTCAGCCTCGATTGCCCTTTCAAATACAAAATGAATGGAATACAACAGCCATTTTCAAAGAACCATCTAAGGCATTTGCCTTTGAGAACGAATCCATTATTTCATCTCCTGTCCCTAGACCTGGGAATGAGCCAGAGATCAAGACATGTGGAACTTCACTTCATGCAACCACTGACTCTGGCGAGCAAAAAAAGCCCTTTTACTCATGAGCTCTTTGAGCACTTTATCAGTGAGAACCCCTTACTGCCCCATAGCTCTCAAAATAAAGAAAGAACTTTCCTCTTATGAGGCTTGATAAGCAACCACAGGAGAACACTCATACTCTCCCCTCCATGAACTCTTTCAGGAGTGGGAAATAAATTTGTGTTGCCTTCACTTCTCTCAGATTCTGTAGCTAATGACACAATAAATAGCATTCTTCTTCTATTTCTCTCATCTCTGTGAAAAAGGGCATGGCCATGGGCACTCTACCGTGGGGCGGGGGGTGAGGGCTTCATACAGACGGTGAGTCTTTCCAATTAAGGGTCCGCCATCATACGCTTCAAGTAACCTTATATTTGCTCTGGGGAGCAGGGAGCTCATTTTCTTCTTCAACCTCAAAGCCCTTCAGAGGGATGTGGGAAAAAAAGGCAGGGGACTAATTTTCTGACTTCACACTTGGTGCATTGCAAGGGGTTGAGGACTACCACACAGAAAAACTGTTTAAAGCCTCTGGGAAGAATGCTGTTAGGAGGTATGATGGCTCTCCTGTACTACACCTGGCCTTAAGCAACAAGTGGAGTTTAGGTCAATTTGTAAGAAAAGACGAAGGCAGTGTTAAGAGTTAACAGACATAATTACTTTGTTTTATTTTTATTTCCTTTACCTAAAACAATAGGCTGCATCCAAAGCACGCTTCTTCCGCCGGTTGGACTGTTGTGACTCAAGTCTGTAGGAGGGCAACAACATTAGCAGGAGATGTGGGGTCTTCCCACTGTTTTTTTTCCTAGTGGACTTTATAGTTTTCTGATCACCACTGGTATATGTGGAGGTGCCATCAATACCTTGAAAAAATGCATTTGGGTAACAAACATTTAGCTTTACCTTCATCAAACATAACCAGCCATTCTTTTTTCCTTTGTATCTTGTCACAAACAGCCGTGATGACCTCACAAGAGCATCATCAGCTGGCTACCACCATTCCCCACGGAAATAGATATGGCACGAGGAGACAATCGCAGGTGACAATGGACACTTCTCACTGAGGCTCTTGGCAGGAGGCAGTTCAGTGTCCAAGGCAGGCCTTGTTGGTTATGAAGGTCACTACAGAAGAAGACTTTGACCATAGTCCAAGGGCAACCTAGGTAGTTTATTTTAGTCAACCCTCAGTTCAGGCTGTGTTCAGCCCCTCAGCGACTAAAGGCACAGCAAAAGAACATGCCTTGTCCCTGCCAGTTCACTCTCTTCCTCAGACTCCTAAACTCAAAAGACTTTCCTCATGAACACAACCCGAGACTTACACGAAATTGCAGTGAATTAGGTTCAAGGGAAACAGAAGTCACCCTTACTTAATGCTATTTGGGGAAGCTGTGAAGAAAGGGCTTTTTCATTTATTTTATGGCATCCTCAACACTTTCCTGATTCCATCTGAGATTTAGAAACTCGAGCTCCCCAAAGCATGCTCAAGAGACTGCCAGTTTAAGCACTTAATCTCCACACTCTAGAGAATCATGGCTAGGTTAGAGACTGAAATAAATCTCTAGACCTCCGGGAGTATTTTTCCATGAGCAAGGGCCACCGTAGCCTTCTGCAAGTGGACGGAAGTCCTGGGTGGTGGTAGCTGGGGAGGGGAAATCAGCTCCCTGGCATGCTGGTGTGGAGCCGCTGTGGCACGAGCACATGGCAGCCATCCCTCTTTACCTCTCATCAATCGAACTGGTTAGCTAATAATATGGCAAGCAACTCCAACCCTTGGTATCTCCTCATTCTCCTTGACCTTTGGCTAATCACTAAGAAGTGAGCAAGAACAGGGAACAACTAAAGCCTCGTTATGTCTTTATAAAGTATTCCAAAAGTCTGATCAGGCAGCCACCGGAAATACTGGGCACCAGCTAGAAACGGTGGAGTGTTCTGATACATGGGAGGTGAGGTAAGGAGGCTATGGTATGAGGGGCTTCCCAAGTGAAATATGGTTGTAGGCCTCCTGACATTGCGCCTGGGGCATTATCAATGGGTGTCCTTGAATGTATGCTATCTTCTGCTGTAATATCAGCATAGCTGGAAGGTTGGCTTGCTTGAATGAAGAATAAAGGGCTTACCTGACTAATAGTTTGGAAAGTTGATGAATCAGTCAGTTAGTACTGCCAAGTCATCACTGGGCAAGGAGCAGCGTAAACAGGGAACCAATTGCTTGGTCCCAATCCCTTCTGCCTTCATATACCTTTCTCCAACCTTATCTTTACCCAAACAATTACAACTCCCCAGCCTCACCCAATAATCCCATTCTCACATGCAAACGGACTTCATCCCCCATGAGATCATGAATATAGACCCTTCCCTGCCCCACCTCGTATGACCAAGTTTCAGTTACCTGCAAATCTTGCTTCTAGCTCTTCACTTTTATTGGGAATGATGTAATTATTAGATGGTACAAAGGTGCAGCAGGGACAGTGTAAACTTATTTTAAATCCCAGGTTTCTGTCTGGAAAACATTAAGTCAAGGAGGTCATTTGGATGTGTGACAATACCCTTAAATCTGCAATCAACTTACAGTAACGTGGGGTCACTGAGCATCTAGGGAGGAGGACAGAGGGCAGCTGTAACCTTTATGGTGGAGCCATTCATGGACGGCGTCAGTCACGTCAAAGGAAAGCCATTCGCCTTCTGCTCTTGTCTTGACGACTTTGCTGTCAATGTAGCGCTGGGTTGGAGACGTTAAATCTTTGGATTTGAGAATCTGGAGAAGGAGAGAGAGAGGGAACAAGCTCAGCTGGCATAAGGTCAGCATGACTAACCCAAAACCATTAACAGTATTCCAATTCATTATCTAAACTTAGCTCCACTCTGGTACACCCATGTATTGTCATCCCATAGCACGTGTGCATAAAAGCATAACACCAGGCCACATGCCATGAAAAATAGAGCTACTAAGTCAGCTGTGTGTTATGATAAAGGTGACAGGAACCATAAAGCCAAGTGTCTAAGAGAAAGTGACAGTAATTATTTTACTTTGCTGACATAAGCTTTGTAAGATTTCAGCCATAAATTCTATGCTATTAAGTTAACGGTTTTGTTGTTCTGCTTTTTAATTTGGGGAGCTGGGAGGTGGGGAGGGACAGGGGGAGGGGGCCAGTCCAGAGGACCCATGCTCACCCTCTAAAGGTCCTGACTTATAAATCTCCTTCTAATAAAGAGAAAAATGTCCCAACCCTGGTTCCTAAATCCACCCACATTACAATATGTGGCACGCCTCAGCTTTTGAGGTAAGTCTCTAGCTGGGGTTTTTAGTCTCCATGTGACTTGTTACGATTGATAAAGATATTCCATATCCCACAGACAAAGAATGAATTGGGGCAGGAGCAGTCTGGCATAGTGTGAGTGTGAGACTCTGAAAGCCAATCAGCCTTAACACTGAGACTTTAGAAGGATTCATTTAGTTCAAATACGTGAAGAGCAACTGTAGTAGGTTCTTGGGTTTCTACAGGAAGTGAATGCTTCAGGTGGTTTTTAAAAATTCTGTCTGTCTTTAAATGAGAGTGTTTTATGAGCCAGTCAAACCAAGATCTCAAGTCTCCTAGAGCTCTATTAAATCCCTACCCAACCCTGTATCTTGCCTTCCCTCAGTACTCAGGGGCTTATACTGCCCTTCCCGACATTGAGTCTAACTATTCTGGGCTCGTTTCATACATGTGGGCTGGTCTTTCCAACAAGTTCCTATGCTTCCCCAGGGCAGTGATCACGTCTTCAATTTGACGCCATTCCCAGGCACAGCACTCAATTTAATCAGTGTCTGTTAATGACTGAATATCTAGAAGCCTTACTTACTCTTCTTTCAACCCTGCAAAAAAAAATGCATAATCTTCCTGCTGATTTTAAAAGGACTTTTCTTCCATGTGCCTACATGACTCGTTCAGATAATTTAGCAACAAATGCTTCCTAAAATATTTGGCATTAGGATAGACCTTTTTTCTGGATGAAGTAAGTTTAGGGAAGGAAAGAGATTCTCACAATGGAACTTTGGGGGGCCCTCAATGAATTTTAGACAAAACCTACTCTCCAGGTCTTGCCCCCGAGGGTCAACACACCCCACTAAGTGAAGACAAGCTAGAGGCAATCATGATTCTACCACAGGGGAGAGATGTTCTTGGTGAATTAAAGGAAGCAAGTAAACATGGCTTGAGGGCTGGGCGCACTGGGCTCTGGGCTTGGCACACATTATTTCATTTCATTTCATCCTCAAAACATTCCTGTAAAGTAGATTAATGAAACGTGAGTCTTGGGGAGGTTCAGTAACTCACTCAGTGCCTCGTGGTAAACACATAGGGAGAGAGGATTCAAAGCAAACCCCTAATTTCCCCATTTCAGTGCTGGATTTTGAAGACCAAAGAGTTATGGGGGTCAGATTTGAATCACAGTTCATCCTTACCCCCTTCCAGGTAACCAAAAACCATTCAGTGATAGAAGTAAAGATTTTTAAATAAGAATAAAATAAATGTTGGTACAAGATGGAACTATATCTTGTGGAATGTATACACAGTTAATGCTCATAAACCTGTAACTTTAAAGATACAGCTTCACAGCAGCCCAATCCTCTGGAAATAAAACCTTGCCTTGAAAACACTCCCAGTTGGACAAATAAGACACCACGTATCCAATTCATAATAAATGGTATAATTAACCTAACCTAGGATAAAAATTATAAAACGATGGTTGAGAAGTTTTCAGGCAGTTCCATCTGCCTCGCTGCTTAAAAATTGGTAGCAAATCCAGAATGCATTTTTCTGATTTTAAATTTTTTCCCCTACGGTACCTCCTATATTGATGCATTATTTCATAATGCTTTTATATTTGCTTTGCTCCTAATCAGCACAGTGTATGTCTTATTTATCTTCTTATCCCTAACACTTAGGCACAATGTCTAGAACAAAACATTGCTTTCATTGTTGTATTAATTACATATTGTATATATATATATGTATATATAATATATCAAATGTCTATGATATCTATCTCTGATATAAATATCACTGAAGACACAGAATTTTTTTAATGACTGTATTGACCAAATGGGCCGAAAAAGCACATACCAGCAAATCTATGGAAATTTTTCACCTCAGAGAGAAGGGGTAAATTTAGATGATCTTGCTTTAAAAGCAGACCAAAAGGGAGCAAAAAGATTCTGAAACTTTTTTATTTCTTAAATCTCATCTTCTAATAAGTGCTTCCTTAGCCACAAAACACCAGTAGGTTCTAACAGTGGACAACTTCATATTCTCACCTGACTGACTGATCCTCTATGTCTTTTTGCTAGTTCAAGAACAAGCCCATTTAAACCACCCAAGAACGACAGCTAGTTAGTTGCACAATTCTGAAACAGAGAGGTGGCTTTGGTCTTGTGGGTTTGCTGTCTCAAACTTTATGGCCAAGGAGTTCTTAAACTCACTTGTTGCAATTGAACTCCATTCTTTCTTACTAAGTCCTCAGTGGAAACAGGAAACAGCTGCTTTCCATCACTCATAGACTATCCTTCATATTCTTGGAGACTATTATTAAGTCCCCCTCAGCATGCCCACTCTCTCTCTCTAAGCTAAATAAACCCAGTTCCTTTAGCCCATATTTAGAGGGGCAATTTCCCAAACCTTTAATCACTTGGGTCACTAACTAGGATGAATGATGCTCTATAAAAGTACTCCTCCTACAGCTTCGTGGTGTTGTCTCAGAACTGCCTAGAAAACCTTCTAATCATATCTCAAAGCCTGAAATCTTAACTTGAAAGGTATCTTCTTTCTAAGAATAGGCACAACCTCCCTATTCTCTGTTTATCTTCCATTTATCACCCACACAAAATTAAACTGGAAGGGAAGAAAATCAACCCACTGCTATTATCGATTAGGACTTCCTCAAATTCAAGAGTTTATACAGTCAGTCGACTTCCCACTCCATTTTAGCCTTTGCTGTCAACTTTCTCCAGTCTCCCAACAAGTGTATTGAACATGAACAGTCGTGGATATGCAGCTGTTTTTTTCCAGAGTCAGAGTCGCTTCTAAATTCCTCTACACATTGTATCATGACAAAGATAGTTTAGTTGAAACTGGAAGCTCTCTTAACTGGCTTCCACTTAACTAGCCAGATTAATCGGTATTCTCCATTTGTTCTGTAATATATATTGGTTTATGCTGGGGTTCACTGCTGGAAAACTACTCTCTAGTATGTTTCGAGAACTTCTGGTCTTATCCGTTGAGTTGTATGCTTAGCAAGTATCAACTGTATATGTTTCTCAACCTGTGTATGCTAGTTGGACTTGATATTGTAATTATCCAGGGGAATCAAATGGTCTAGAAATAATGAAATGCAGGCCCGATATTTAAGAGAGCTGTTGCTTTTGTGAAAACCAAGTTGAATGCTTTGTAAAGTCTTCGGTACAGACAAATTGCTTTAAAAACACTTAAAAAAAAAAAAACAGTTTGGTGGTTCCTCAAAAATGTAAACCGAGAATTACCATTTGATTCAGTGATTCCACTCCTAGGTATATAACCAAAAGAACTGAAAGCAGGGCTCAAACAGATACTTGCACCCCAATGTTCATAGCAACATTACTCACAATAGCTGAAAAGTGAAAACAACCCAAGTGTTCATCAATAGATATACAAACAATATAAATAAAATGTACTGTATATACACAACAGATTATTATTTAGCCATAAAAATGAATGAAATTCTGACACATTACAATATGGATGAATCTTGAAAACATTATGCTAAGTGAACTAAGCCAGACACCAAAGAACAAATAATATATGATTTCACTTCCATGAGGCCCCTAGAATAGGCAAATTCATAGAGATAGAAAGCAGAATAGAAGTCACTAGGGGTGGTGGGTAAGGAAAACGAGGAGTTACTATTTAATGGGTGCAGAGTTTCTGTTTGGGATGATGGGAAATTTCTGGAAATAGTGAGTGGTAGTGGTTGTATGACATTGTAAATGTACTTAATGCCACTGAATTATATACCTAAAAAGTGGTTAAAAGGTTAAATTTATGTATATTTTACCACAACAAACCCTTTTTCTAATTTCAGATGTCAGAGAGACAGCTATAGAAGAAATAACAAAAGGAATAATATGATAACAACCTAGAAGGATCCCGGGGTGCCTCGGTGGCTCAGTCGGTTTAAGCATGCAACTCTTGATTTTGGCTCAGGTTGTGATCTCAGGGTCATGAGATCGAGCCCCACATCAGGTTCCATGCTCAGCGTGGAGTCTGCTTGGGGTTCTCTCTCTCTCCCTCTCCCTCTGCTCCTCCCCCTGCTCACTCTCTAAATAAATAAATAAATAAATAAATAAATAAATAAATAGCTTAAAAAACAAACAAACATCCCTAGAAGGATCCTCCACTCGGGCTGCTCAACAATTGTCCTGAAATTTCTTCTTCAAAGAAACGAAAAACTAGAAATTGTAGATGATGCATAATGGATGTGGTTCATGCAAAAAATACAACATGGATTGGCAGTAGTCAGAGCCATAGAAAAGTCCTTGGCCTTTTATAAAACACTCAGCATGTAAAGTGTGTGTGCGTTGTGTCTTTGCGTATGCATACGCATATACATATATATGTTTTGTTAAAATATTTATTCCCCTCTCTCACTCACTCACTCTCTCCTGTTTCTATAATCCCCTGTTTTGACTTTTTTCTTTAACAGATGAACAACTGTTTCTGATTGAATTAGAAAGGAGAGCTT